ACGCCCGGTGATTTCGGCACGAAATTCAAGATAAAAGTTCAGCCTTGATTCTTTTTCTGTTAATAATGAACTTACGATAATGAAACACGTGGCATTAGACTTCTAAGAGTGCAGTTTGTCATTCTAAACTAAGTCATCGTTTCTCTTTAGGGTCCCTTTAACTAAATATAGTACACATAATGTGAGGAGTACTATATGTGTTTCTTGACAAGTAGATAGCTGGAGCTGATACATGATGGCTAATGAGAGAAAAATTAAAGGAGTCTAGCAAGACGGCACACTGTGTGCCGCATTGCTCAAAATTGGCCAACACATTTTTGTAATGGCCTCCTCTACTGCCCCACTCTCAATAGAATAATGCAATGAAACATCTATTGGTACCGAAATAACTTTACTGCAACGCATACACAACATTGAGAATACAGTAATGTAAACCTAACACATGTTCATGGCCATAATACATCGAGGACCAACTGTTTCATAGCTCCGATTGAGCTCTTCCTCCAATGTCGAGGGTTTGATCAGGGGTGTGATACATGGCCGCATATGTTCAGTGCAGTGAAATCAAGCTCTGCTTCAATCGCAATTCAGAGATGGGCTAGGCTTGGCCACATAAACAGCAAGTGGTGTACTATACTAACACGTAACGAATTACGTCCTCTTAGTCTCAGTACTGCAGCATGAGATCTAAGCACATCTTATAACGTCACCAAAGCACATTATTATCAAAGAAGTGAAAAAGGCAGGTCACTTTACTTTGAAACATGTAATTGATAGCACGAAAAAAAAATTCAACTAAAGAACCACATATGCCAACTCTTTCGGCAAACTATAACTAAACTCACTGCTTCAGAGAAAAGACTAAAAAATTCCAGGCCTGCATGGAACGTGGAGCACAGTCGCAGAGTAAGCTGGTAAAGCAGCCTTCATTGAGCCCATCGTAAACTCTCTTGAGCTGCCAGCAGTAAGTACAGTTGCGAGGTACGCCATAAATCGTAATCACTTTGCCAACTAGTGAAGTACCCATTGCATCACAATTCAGTGTGGAAAGTGCTAAGTACAGCACACTTTATTGATGCTGTGACTGATTAAGATGATGAATCATGGCCGAGTCGTTTTTACGAAGTGGGAAGCTTCAAAACACCCGCTTGTTGTGCAGGTGCAATGTTTGGTATGACCCCAATCTTCTGCCACACGATTTTACATCCGTTAACGTGATCCCTTGCCCAACTTGACACCTATAATATTTTTCTGAAGCAGTTTAAAGCAGTGGCATGGCTCTGTGATAAAGTACCTTATTCTCACACAGATTGCCAAGGTTTGACTTTGGCATGAACTCTGTTTTTATCCAGCTCCAACGCATGCGCGTGATAGTTGAAAAAAAAAAAAAAAAAAGAAACACCAAACGCAACAACTGTGGACAATATCATCACCCAGATCAGCTGCTGTTATGGGCTCATAATGAATGACATTGTAAAGAAGTAAGTGAGAATGGGCTCTCAAATAATGCCATAAAGAATAATTCACAACAAGAAAGTGAATGCGCGATATGAATTGGCCTTTAAAGCAAACACACCGTGTGGCTCATTTCAAGGGACTAGTCAGGAGGTCCTACTCAATTGAAACAATACTTTGCAAATCCCTTCATTCAACGCAGTAATGGGACAAGAACACATAAGCACTTGCACATACACGCTCAGCCATGTGAACGCATTGCCTCATGTTCTTTAAAATAAATTTGAAGAAGCTTTGCATCCTGTTTTCACACACCCTAAAGGCACACACACCCCTACAGGTACTTGTCTTGGGGGCTAAGCGGTATATTTCATTACAGCATGTGCAACCATCTAGTTAGAAAATGAGGGCCTCTAACCTTCCTCATCATGCCACAAAGTGAGATACCGTATTTATTCGTGTAATGAACCCACTCGCATAATGAATTCACCCCTCTCTTCAGTCCTTGAAAAAAAAAAGAAAAAAAAACTTTTTAATGTATCTGCTCATTTTATTTCGGTATGACAGCCAGTGCCATTGATGATCGAAACAATGTTAAATAAAGTCAATGTATAACAAAATGATGCAACAAAAGTCAAAACATAGTTTAGCAACCATGCTAAACAGTTGGGAGCAGCCCGAGCGCAGACGACATCAATCAACATTTGATGTCGTGCTTTTTGCGGCAAAGCGCTATCTGCCGAATGACGGAGAAACCTCTTTGATAGCGGCACGCAGGCACAGCGGCGCAAAAACAAAGCCCGTGACCCCTGAAATGGCAGGCATGCAGCGTAGTAACATGCTGCGCGCCTGCCATCTCAGGGGCCATGCAAAGCGCAACCGCACCCACTGCATTGACAGCGCGTCGTGCACCCGCTAATACCGCAACGTTCGTGCGCCGGCATCCAATGCTGCGGTTTTGTTGTCGGTTTGTCCTTGTGAACTTAATTGGGACAGCTGCTGCGCAGGGCGAGTTTGGCCAGTAGGCTAGCTTCACGGCTGGTTACAAACAGTATGTGCTGGAGCATTGAAAACAAGCGACTGGACAACACTTCAGCGTTGATTCATGCGCTTTCGTTACAGGAGGAAATAAAAAAAGAGCTTCGGGCTACAAAAGATTTGTCGCGCATTTTACGATAAAAACGGGCAAAGCCGCCAAGTGAGATTTTCGCTGTTATAACTCCTGTGACTTTTTTCTGCAGCATAATGATCCCTCCGCACAAATTGGAGTCAACTTTTCTGAATAAAAAAAAGGGTGGGTTCATTACGCAAGTAAATACGTTATATGCATCACTTGTCCTCCCAGACATTCTTATTACGTTCAGTACAAGTGTACACACCAAATTAAAAACTGTCCTGCCAATGGGAATCGTCACAGGACATATAAAGCTGTGTTTTACATTCTTTGCAAAAAAAAGAAGCTTTTGCATCTCTTTTTTGTTGTTCCTTTACATTTCCTGGTAGAACACGTTCCCCTACTGATGTTCGTTTCAACGGCTCAGTGTCAGGTTTCACTACAGCACCCGCAGCTATCTCTAATTGGATAGAACTTTAAAAAAATGGCAAGATCTTGATTCAGGTGGTTGATTCATAGTTATTCAAAAGCACAACAGAGACAAAACAGCAGAGGAGGAAATGCATAATCACATCACAAGTACTAACAACAGTTGTTAGTCAGTACTTGTTATGTGACGTCGCGTGTCTCTTGTTCCCATCCCCTTTTTATTCGTGCTGCAGATTAAAAAGGCAAAGAAGGCCTTATTCAGATGGCAAAAACAAAGCAGCCAATTGCTTCCATGACTTCAAATGGTCCCAATCGTGTACTTGGCTATATTTTTGATTACAGGGTGAGTGACTGTTTGACTTACGACGTCGAGAGGGCGTGCTCATTGGTGCAGATATCGATACATCTGCCTTTGAGATGGAAAATACCGCTCCTTCAAAAGTTGCACCCACCTACTGTCCCAACATCACACAGTTTAAACCTAATAAAATATGCGAGCTCCACCCACAGAATCGCAGCGTGGCTGCCTTTTACCAGAGAAATACTGTCGTGCTGGGTGGTTTCTGCTTGAACCGTAAGCACTTTTTCTCTACAAATGTAAATACTAAGCATATTAAACATAAAAAGTTTATCGTTACAATCTCAAACATCATGCTTGGCTATACCACGATGTGAGAATCCCCGAAGAAATTTCCCGGGACATTCAAGTCTCTAACCTAAGAACCGCAACACAAACATGTATCTGTATGGAAAGTCAAATATATGATAACTCCCGAAAAGAGCTTGAAGCCATTAAAATGAGTTAATGCCATTGTGCAAATTTCTTGTGAGAGGATTATCAATGGCTGCGGACTCAGTTGACACTTTTCCTTAGCTTGTTGGTGACTACAGCCAGCTTTTCTAGAGCTGAAGCGCAAAAGAAGTATACAACAAACTAAGAGTCAGCGCCTAGTGCACCGACTCATAGTACTATTACATTCAGAACAGGTACGAGCATCATCGGGCAAAACTGCTACACTTCTATAAATTGCCAAGTCGCGCATAAGAGTGTTGTGTTGAGTAAAATTCATGGGACAAAGGTGACACTGGAAAAGTCTCTTGCCATTAAAAGTCACTAGCACGTGCACTGATTCTCAGACAGCCACGAGTAAGAACGTGGCTGTGATCCCATACTTGCATAGAATTTCACACAATTTAAAAAAAATTGGTCATAGGGCCGGGGTCTCTGTAGCATTTTCTGCACCGAATAAGTTGTCGCAGTTTTGTGCAAGAAATAGTCCTGTAAGAAAGCCTCCCAACGAGTGTAAAATCAATCACCGAAACCAATGTGTTCAATGTGCGAAGAGTGCAGTATATGACGTACCTTTGACCTGCGGTCTAAGTAACGTCGGACAGTCAGGCAGATGCCTCAAGGTGCCATTACTTGAACACAACCAAAAAGCAAAAAAGGGCTCTGATGGTTTCCTGGCGACTCATGGCGCAGAATGCAAATGGATGTGGGTGTTTGATAAAACAACTGTATTGACTACTCACCCTAGTAATAGTCTAAGGCTCATCGTTGAGGCGGCGGCGATAGCAAATCAAAGCTGCCTCAGCAAGCCATTTATCACACTAACAAAAAAAAAGAACTGGATTACTTGAATTTACCGAAATGTGGCTTTTTATGTAAAATTCACTGCTGCTTAGTTTTATTTTGTCTTCATCTTTGTGCGTTGATAGATATTATTGTGATGTCATGTGACAGGTATATATTTTCGGTGCTTCGGAATAAAATTTTAGTTGGAAGTTAGCGCTTGTTGTCATTGTCCCTCTTCGTCCGTTGTATACCTTTTTGCACTTCAGCTGGAAACATGGAATGCCAACTATCCCTCTCCCACACATAGCCAGCGGCCTTGTGCCATAAAGCCAGATACTCGCATCCTTAGCCTTCTCAGACATTACTGTTACGTTCAGAACAGGTACAAGCATTATCGGGCAAAGCTGTCCTGCCTCTATGAATTGCCAAGTGGCGCATAAGATTGCTCTGTCGAGTGAAGTTCATGGGACAAAGGTGACACTGGAAAGGTCTCTCGCCGGTGTGGATGTGGACGTGCTCGGTCAGGTGGGCCGTCTGCTTGAAGGCCTTGCTGCAGTAGCGGCGCTTGTGAGGGCGCTCACCCGTGTGAATTCTTTGGTGGCACTGCATGCGCTGCTTGAAAGATGTGGTGTAGCCGCTCACAAGACAGCGCTTCAGGTGCAAGCCTCCGTCAGGGCCCGGAGGATCGGGTTGGCCATGGTGGAGTGGCACGGAAACCAATTCTGCACAAGTAATGTTGCCACATTTTTAGCAGAGAGTAAAGGTAAAGACATGGAGGTAGTGCAACGTGCAACTTGCTACACTACACAGCAAAACGTAGGGAGGGATATAATTACAAAATGAACTTGCACAAAAACAAGGGAAAGTGCACAATCTTTATCATCTGTGAGGATTTTTTTTTTACAGTGAAAGCTGTTATCACATCACAACAAGGGCCGATTCTTGTGCCGTAGTTGTCCGCCGCCACCAGTGTTCGTAACCGCTATTGTGGGAAATAATAACTAACTAAGCAAATAAATAAATAAAGAAATAATGCTGAGGATAGAATGGGAATCAAAGGCGGGCCCTCTGCTTGGCAGCCCAGGACTCTACCACGGAGCTAGTCTTGTGCTCTAAACTTCGTTGCAAACTGACCCTATGCAGGCTTCAATGCGGGGTAGGGAATCACGTTAACGTGTGTAATAAAGCATTTTAAAACAGTGAAGTAACAGCCAGGCTTCCCAGAATCCGAATTGCAAAAAAAGTGTGCCCCTCAGTGCTCCACACCCATTACAAAAACCTCATTAATAATTCTTCATCATCGTCAGTCACGGCATCAAAATAAGTGCACATACGCATTTCCTTACAAGTGCGTAACGGGTACCACACTTTTTCGAAGAATAAGGAATAATGGCATAATGACACTTCCCCACTACACAAAAATCGTAATCTATGGCATAGTGGGTGCCATGCACATGTGCTAGTAGTATTTGCCCAAAGAGTGTTTAAAAAAGGCTCTAGAAATGTCGCTCTTCCAGCTTTCACTGTGGCTGTGCTGCATGATCCATTCAGGCCTGGATGATATCTGAAGTTCAACGTCCCGAAACCACAACATGATTATGAGAGACGTCGCAGTAAAAGGCTACGAAGAAAATTTGAACCCTGTGGTATTCTGCAGTGTGCACTGATATTGCCCAGTACACGAACCTCCACCATTTTGCCTCCATCAAAATGCAACTGTTGGGACAGAGATCCAACCCACTAACCTCAGGTCGGCGGCTGAGCACCGCAACCACTGATCTACCATGGTGAACAATGCTTCTTTTTTTTTGTGTAAAAATGTCATTTTAGAATGCAGCCACACACCTTAAAGGCTTGTTTGGTTATACTAATCTGCACAGGTTTACCACACTCATGCTCATCAATGAGGGCAATTCTGAAGATGGACTTTAACACGCCTAAAGCTACAGCAAAGGCAAGCATGAAGAATGTTGGCATAGTTTGTGTTTGTAGCCAAAAATGTCCATGTAATATGTGTCTACAACTAGCCAAGTCAAAGATGTGATAGACGCATGCTAAAGCTCCTTGCTCTGGGAAAGTAACGACACTCTCCTCCATGGAGAGTGTCGTTATGGAGCTGCGCTGCGCCCAGCTCCATTTTTTGTTGAGGCTCCCACAGACACATCGCCAAATTCAATAGGGGCGCATAATCTCGGGCCACTTTCACGCCCCGGTAGTGTAGCCCATTTGTGAAAATGGTGATAACAAGATAGATAACACTAGAATGAACGTTTATTAGAAGATTGCTTGCTTCCGAAAGCTGTTTAAATGTTGCGTGCTACTTTAAAAGCCCCTTCATGAAGAGTTCTATCATGCAGGTTTTTTTTTCTTCCAGATGGTAACATGCTTTAAGTCTGCAACACGTATAGTTTTGCCTGTGGCAACTACTAAAAACATTAAAAGGAGCAGGCAGCAGCAACCACTCACTGCTATCACTTCGAGGTTCATGTGGACGGTCGTGGGGGCTTGCTGTGCTTCACGGCAGGGTAGCGGGTAAATAATGTTTGAGCTGCGTTGGGTTTCAAATTTTTCCCCCAAATCGTAGCAAAATAAGTGGCTAATTTCGGTCGTCAATTAAATGTAGCAAGAACGTGTTGAAGGCAGACAATCATTCAGGCACAATGAATAATTTCGTACACAAAATGACAAGTGACCAAAACAGAAGCACTGCAGTGCTAAAGATTATTGGTATACAAGCTTCTCTGAATTATTACGTAACATTCGTAATACTGCCAAACCTTCGTGGTCAAAACTCACCAATGCTGTATTTAGGCTCATGTTACATCGATTGAATAAGATCACCGAAAGCTGCAGAAAGCACTCACTGCAAGAGCAAAAATTTTGGGCTTCTGCCTCGAAGTTAATATCATCACATGAGCAAGCGAGTATGATCACGTGACCACCCCATGCATGTCACCAGTATGCGTAAAAAAAAATAATTATCGGTACCCAGTCTTGCGTGCGTGGCATCCAAGGTCAAAAGTAAATTAATGAACAGAAAAATATCTAAACTTTTGCAGCTAACACTGCTAATCTGCAATATCACGCTTCTTGCTTACCATTGTGACGAAAGCTGTAGATGCCTCGTCAAGCACGAAATATGATTGTCGGCGTCCCGCGTTGTCAGGAACAGGCGATGCAAAAAAAAATCATTCCAGGATGACCTCACCATATGACGGCATGAAGACGTTACATGTTGCAAAATTTGTGGTGTCATAATGGCGATGCTTTCATCACGTGCTTTCACCTATGCCACGTGACATAACGGCTCATTTGCGCTATCTGCACGTTTTTTTCTCGACGATTTTTTCCGGCAGTGCTTGTTTCCCGTTTTTTTTTCTAGCACTGGATCGCACTTGTGACATTATTTTCTGTGTCAATACTTCTTCCTCCACCCCCATAAAAAAAAAAAAGAACCTAAATTGGTGGCCATTGCCAATGTCAGCTCGATTTATTCATCCATTTACTTTTTTACGCATTCATTTTCAACAGATGTTAATAATCAGGATATGCACGTTCAAGAAGCTATCTCGTAGCAGGTAAATGTTCGCCGCAGAAAGCAGTTTCTGTAGTTAATTTCAGACTGAATAACAGTTGCAGACGTGCGATTTGATGGAGTCTCAACAGAATAATCAGAATATTGAGGCGATCCATTTTTTCAAACAACGCACAGTTAGTCACAAAAAAAAAAGCATGCTCATCAGGTGGGAAGAATACTTGAAATACATACAGAATTCGGCGATGCTTTCGTACGAGCAATAAGAAAAGTGCCGTACCTCGCAAAGAACATGCTCTTTAACGAAACTAAGCTCTTTTGGCCGATGTAGTGCAGCGACTGCTTCTCAAGGAAGCTATTGCACTTACGTTCCATACCTTAAAAAAAAGCATAACCATTTGTATTCTGGTTGCATTTGTTATAGGCGCAACCGCACGGCATGGCACCTGAAAACAAAGCGCGTGCAATGTTTGCCACACAACCTACACCCAGCTCTAGTGAAAAATGGCGCGAGCGAAAAAGATGAATATGAGCACAACATGAGATTTGCCCGTCTCCAAGGGCAACCGCGTAAGAGACCAATAATTGTGCACAAACAGCGACAAAAAACAGGAGGACCCGAACAGGGCGAGGAGAAAGAGAGGAGGTCGCAAGCACAACGGCGAGTACAATGGACTGTGTTACTTTCCCAAAATCAAGGGGCTTTGACATATATGCATGCCTGCTCTGCCACCTGGAAGAAAGACAGCACAGACAGAATGGAACTGTCCTTATAGAATGGAAAGTTGACTTGTATTCAATCAGTAATTGCTGCCAATTATATTTATATTGTTCTCAGAGAGTACTTGTTGCCTGAATCATATTCAAACAATAGCGAAAGTACACTTGTGTTATAAGCAGCAAAATTTAACAACTTGCATCCTTAAAGGAGTTGTGACCAAGTGAAGCTGGAAATACGGCTAGCTATACGTACATGTTTGCATAGGCACACTGTTTATTAACAGGAAAAAACTGGATAGGGCACACCAGATAGAGCAAGATGAAGCTAATTCTTCTGAAGCAGTCGCCCAACAAGTGCTGCAGTCACTTACAACCTAAGAATAAATGTACGATCATTTGCTGTCCCATGCAGAATGTACGCTCCACACACAACATTTGCTGTCCCACGCAGACATCACTTGAATAAGAGTCCCGTCGAATTGCAACAGCTGATTTACGAGACGTCACGCCCTTCTGGTGTATTTCAAGCAGATGACTTTTCGACACAAGCATGAGTACAAGACACTGATCCGGGGTCAAAAATTTTACTTTCTGGCAAATTTTGACTAAGATTTGGACTTCACTGCTCAGCTGAAAGTAACACTTAAACAAGGGATGAAAAACTTTCAATACTCACTGCTCAGCTGAATGTAACACTTTAACAAGGGATGAAAAACTTAATTAGCAATGAGTAGTATTTAAATTGGTAAAGAAAATTAACTTATGGTTAGAACAGAAACTACCAAGCATGGCTTCCTTGTACAGACTAATGGCAGCTGCGTTGTAGTACTGCAGACTGAGCTTGAGTCTAATACTGATGTTGTAACAGACTACAAGGTGTGCCTATACAGTTTTGTCCTTGCATTTGATTGAATAAATATTTTTAAAAGACAGCTGCGGCCATTTTAGATGCACTTGAATGTTGACAAAGCACTACAAGGAATAAAACAGCATAGTCAAATGAACAGATGCGCAACACAAAAATCCATCATATCTACTTATTTGTTTTGCACCACAACGATGACAAAAGTGTTGACCTTCAAGAAAAAGGAAACAATGCATACAAACGTAAGATGTTAAAACATCATGCTATTCTTAACACACCAAACGAATTTCACAGCTATTTATCTTGTGACAATAGCAAAAGGAGTAGCATCTCAATACAGTGAAACAATTTCATGTTTTACATTTTCAATATGACCACTTCTTCAAAGTCCTGATATGACCTGCAAGTGGATCATGACCCTTGAATCAACGAGAAGGTATGTAGAAAGCCGCAACACAGTGATTCTCTGTCACAAAGCTCTCTCTGCCAATATTGCCAAGCACATTTAACATTCTCTTCCCGCCAAAATACACTTCAAAGACTAATTCAAAGCACTGATTTCCAAACCAAAGCAAACATTTAAAGGAGCCCATAGAAGTTGC